AATAAGTTTAAACCATGATACCACACAAAAACTTCATAAACTGATTTTAGAAAACTGTTTTTTATAAATAATACCAAATACAAGATGTAATACATTGTATTTTTCTAAATTAATGCAAAAAACTGATTTTCGATGATTTATAATTTAATAGGGAAAAACTGATTTTATTAGTTTAAATTAAAAAGTTTGATCAATTCATTTTATATAAGGTTTCATAAAAAATATACACAACACAAGTTACCTCCATAACATAAAAATCATCCAAAAAACTTGTTCGAGCCCTCATATTAAACTCAAGTTTAATATGTTATATTTATCAAAGTTTCATACCACACAAAAACACCATAAAATAATACCTAACATCATGAAATTCAATAACATAAAAATCATACAAAAAACACAGTCTACCCCTCATATTAAACTCAAGTTTAATGTGTTCTCATATTAAACACCAGTTTAATATGTTCTATATATTATTTCTCAATAATTTTAGATGAGTGAGCACGAACGCCGCCTTTCCACCATTGCTCGTCGTGGGCGTCAGAATTCACGACGGGCCTCAAATGCTGATCGTGATATCAATGATGATATCAATCCCGACGAAGGACAAGCTCTTGACGGACATGTCCAAACTCCTCCCTCCGAACAATCAGACGCTCATATAAGCGTGCATGGGGAGGGGGCATCATCTCATGCACCTCCTTCATCTCGTGCCATATATGCCCCATCCACTCAAGAAGAACGCCACAATCCCGGTTCGCTTGAGGTGACACCTCAATCGATCCATAGGTAATAAAAAACTAACATTCTGTAATATAAAATAGTATAATCTCTTTATCTAAGAATTAATACAATTGTTTTTATCAATTATCAATTTTTTGAAGCGATTCCGAGGTCTTGAATAGAATCAAGGCTATTGTTTGTGGTCATTTCACCGGGCCGTGGTCGACTTATGGTGAGGTTCCGGCGGCCACTCGTGAACTATGGTGGCGGTTGTTCAAGGTAAAAATAAATATTTTTGTTACATTTTAGTAACTTAAATTTAAGAAATGATGATATATCAATGTTTTTCATGAAGGCTTCCCATCGTTGGCATTTTGCCCTAGACCAAGCGATTCTCAAAGAATACAATTCTAGGATTTCTGGGTGGTTGAGACCCACTTTTAGGACCGCCCGGTCTACGGGTAAAAAGCCAAAGTTCCTCGGAGATGATGTGTGGGAGATGCTTTGCCGCCACTGGGCTACGGATGCCTCATTTTTGCTGAGAAGCGAAATGGGCAAGGCAAACCGGGCTTCCGATAAAGCCAAGGAAGTTCAATGGCACGGGGGCCGCAAACCCCAAAGTCAACATAAAAAAGATCTGGTAAACTCCATTTAGTTAAAATTATTTCCATTCCATACCATTATGTATATATATATTTTTATTAACTTTGAAATCCGTGTAGGAAGGATCTGGACCCGTGCCAAAACGGGTCACGCCATTGAAACTCATGACACATTGCTGGACTAAGAAGGGTGCCATGCCGCCTCCCCGCCTTTCTGAAATTGAAGTAAATAATGAAACATAATTCAATAAATTTCGATTTTTTTAGATCTCTTATATAATAAATTTTTGAACTTGTAGAAAAAATATGAGGAAGAGCGGGGTAAGAGAGTTGATGAGCTAGCTGATTCTGATGCCGAACTTGATGAAAATCAAGATGATGAAGCCATCTTGGCGGCAACCGGAGTTTACAAGGGCCGGGTGCCGTTTATGGGTTCTGAAGGCGTACGGATCCTCGAGAAGACCAAAAGAGCTAGCTCATCTTCTCATTCGGCATATGATGATCGGGTTACCCGCCTCGAGAAACTATTAGAGGAACGTGAAGCCGAGGCTCGAAGGCGGGATGAAGAAGCTCGGATACGGGATGAAGAGCAAAGAAGAACAAGAGAAAGGTTGGAAGAGATGGAACGCCAAATGCGTATTTTCAACGCCACCTACCGTCCATCCATGCACATACAGCACCCCGAGATGACCCCACAAGTTCCCTTCGCGGGCAATATGGGCAATATGGGCAGTATGGGTAGTAGGGGTTTTGCTAATTATAGCCACATCTCCAACAACTTTCCATATGGATATTATGACGATATCCCGACTCCCGGAGCTCAAGCTTACCGTGGCAGCAGCCGTGCTGGCAGCCGCAGTGGCAGTCGAGGCGGTCATCGTGGTGGCAGCCGTGGCCACGGAAGGCAACCCGATCATCGTGACGAACCTGATGATGCTGATGCTGATGCTGATTATGATGACCATTGATGGTTTGTAATAATTAGTTTATTAACATTTTAAGAATTTTAAAATTTTGATGTGTTAATGTATGAATATTAATGTGTAATGGTTTGATTGTGTTTAAATAATAGTTTATTTGTGTTTTATAATGATGGTTTGATTAGATTATTATTTATTATGATACCTAATGTGTAATGGTGATTAATGATGATTGTTTAATTATTTATTATAAACAATTATTTATTATGATTATTGTTTAACTATTTATTATTAAGTTTAATTTTTTGAAAAAGCGCCTAAATTTTAATGGTTATTTTTATTAAATAAACTTTTAAAAATGCGCTGAATTTTTTAAATTTTTTTTTAAAAAATTTAAACTTTTGTCACGGACTGTTCCGTGACAAAATATAAATTCACGCTAAATTAACGTATTTTTTTTTTAAAAAATGTTTTGTCACGGATGGGATCCGTGACAAATTCAAAATTTTGAATTTTTTGAAAATTTTAAAGCTCCCGCTCACTCTATTTTAAAATTGTCAATTTTTTTCAAAATAGTTTGTCACGGATATGTCCGTGACAAAATTTAAAATTTGAATTTTCCGGACCGTTTCAAATACCCGCCCACTCTATTTTGAAAAACGTTTTTAAAATTTGTCACGGATAATTCCGTGACAAGTAATTATTTTTTTTTTTGAAAAATAAAAACATTTATTCACGGATGCGTCCGTGACAAATGAAAGGCGATGGGATTCCGGTGAAGTGTTTTGTCACGGACCGTGGCCGTGACAAATCCGTGACAAATAATCTCACGGATTAATTTCCGTGACAAAAACGTTATCACGCCCCTGGTGTCACGGATGGGATCCGTGACAAATCCGTGACAAAAAATCATTTGTCACGGATTTTTTGAACTACCGTCCGTGACAAAATCCGTGACAAACGACGTGTTTTTTTGTAGTGTTAAGTCATTTTTATTTACGACTTAATTAGAAACATGACTTAATCATTTAGTTCCCCAAACAGACTTAATCATTAAACCGGAGAATATCAGTCCTTGCCATTAAGACGTCTATTAAGAAGTTTTTTCTGTCAATTTTTTCAAAATGATTGTTGCTAATAAATGAAGTTATTCATTGATATTATAATCTAAGAATAATACTAAATTAATTATTTTACTCGATTTAGATTATTTATTCAACATATAAAATAAACATATTCATTTACAAATATCACTTAACTCAGATAGACATCTTAACTTAAACAGATGTCTTAATCTAGACACATCGGAATTTCTGATTTCTTTAACGATATGAATTTCTGATTATTAACAACTTAATATAAATACGCCACCATAACAAATAAGGCTCTTTCTCTCTCTAGGTGGGTTTCCACCCTTAGGGTTTTACCTCCGCTATTGTTTGTAATGAGGAGCGAGCGTCGTAAGCGGGCTTAGGCGTATAGGGTTCCTCATCTGCCATCAGTTGTGTGTTTTTTTTATTCTTTTGCTTGGCGAGATTAAGCGGAGGGAAGATGATGTTTGGTCTCTCGCGACCGAAGGTTGTGCAGGGACGGAAGATGGATGCTTGGTCTCTGGCGGTCAAAGGTCATGGACGAAGCGTGGGGCTAGAGGCTGGAACATATCTGCATTCGAGGTCATCTGTGTTATGTGGCAACAGAGGAGGCGTGATAGAGAACATGATGAATAATAGGCAAGGGGAGGAAGAAGCTAGTACTGGATCATCCTCTACTAAAAAACTCCCTAATTTTTGCTTTATCTGCGGAATTATTGGGAATTCTGATAAGTTTTGTCCAGTAGTGTATGAGGGGGATAACATCACTTTTGATAGAACTTATGGAGTTAATCTTAGAGCTAGTTATGGGGTGAAGACCAGTCCTACAGGAGGAAATAAGTGGCTGGTTGAAGGGTCTTGTAGTACTGGTATGAGTGTACCCCAGAGGAGTGACAGTCAAGACACACGAGGGAAGGATTGGAAGGAGGCTACTATAGGGACTCGAACTAGCTCTATTAAGGAAGGAAATTCGACGAGTCCAGAAGAAATGCCGGGAGAACAGAAAAGCAGAAGAATCTGGGAGGAGAAGGAACAGGAGGATCCAACAGGAGAGGAGATGGCACTTGACAAGCAAAAAAACGGGGAGGAGGCGGGTCTAGACCAGTAGATCCGCCGGTTTGCTTGAAAATGCTGGATAATTCGTTCGGATGGCTTGTGGCGGTGCATTTGAAGTTAGAGAAGAATTTTTATATTTCTGCTTTTTTAGTTGTTGTTTTATTTAATCAATCTGTTTACTGTTTTGTTGTTTTGATTTTTTATCGTAAGACTCTTGCATTAAGATTTGGTGATGGTAGGTCTACTTCAATCGTCTTTGGCTCAAGTATGCCTAATATAGGATCATTGAGTTATATTTCTTGTTTGAAGGTGATTAACTCTAAATATTGTTCGAGAGCTGGCGGTTGTATGTGGTTCTTATATCATTTTAACCTTTTTCTGAATGTTAATGTTGTGATATCAATGTAAGCCCCCTCTTCCAAAAAAAAAAGTTTGAAACATAAAATCTAGTACTGTCAAAACATGATTGTAATTACTTATTTCGAAAATAAAAATATCACAGTCCTACTTTGAAATTCCCGAATGTTTTTACTCGAGCAATTTCCCTACTTTTAAAATTCTTGATTAGGACTAAGTGTGTTTATTTCCCTAAGTAGGACTTTATTAATCCTATACTAAAACTAACGTTTTTTACCCGTACAGATTTGCCCTTCGCGTAACATACCCCATCTGCGTAACATACCCCATCCGCGTAACCGTTTTTTCCCCATTTCGTTCGCTTCCTGATTTTCAGACTTTCAGTTACGATGCTTTCCCCTTGTTTTACGCTCCCCTGTATTATCTCCTTCCGTTTTCACCGTGTCTTTCTGTATCAACCAATCGCTTATGCCATATCTCATCTTTGCTCTGTCTATCATAAGCTACGACCAAACGCATATGTTGATGTGAAGTGTTCCAATTGTTCTGGTAATTATCTAACTGCTAATATTATCAGTTTCTTCATTATTCATCTTCTGTATTATCGGATGTTGTACAAGAAGGTAGCGACAATTGAAGGATATTTTAATGTATTTGTTTTTATTTGTCATTGTTATACATTCCGAAACCTAAAATCATGTTCCATGTCTGTGTTGAAATCTGGAAAATATGTCATTCAGTATACATATATGCGCTTATCCTTCATGGTTGTACTCATGGTCATCGTTTGACTTGCGCCTGGGATTCTGTGTTTGGTGTTTTCAGTTGGAATTTTAATGACATAATCTTGGCATAATGTGTTCTCGTAATCATCATTTGACTTGCGTGTGGGATTTTGTGTTTGGTGTTTTCATTTCCAATTTAATGACATAATTTTGGCATAATGTGTACTCATGGTCATCATTTGAGTTTTGGCTGGGATTCTGTGTTTGGTGTTTTCAGTTTGAATTTAATGACTTAATCTTGGCATAATGTGTATTCATAGTTGTCATATTGTTTTTCATTTTATTTGAACAATTTATATTTATTTATCTAGTTATCCATATGGATTCCATTGTTATGATTATGCTGAAGTTGGGTGGAAGTTGGACCAATGACTATAACTTCAACAGTAACCTCACCTTTGCTATTCAAGTTCTTTACTCATCTACATACAAAGACTTTATAGAGCAATTTTCTTCCATATTAAGTGATTCTTACAATGCAACAAGTGAGTTGAAGTTATCTTACATGGTTGATGGTTGCCCTCCACCTGTGTATATCAATGATGAAGCCAGTTTCCATTTTTTCCTCAACCTTAAGGTTCTTCAGACTGATTTCAGCAAGTACCCATTATGTGTGGAATTCTCAATTCATGGTTATACTCCTTGCCCGGTGCCTGCTACGGAAAATACTGTACCTATTTATGCTTCACCATCTCATGTTTCTTCTGAGGAACATTGATAGGCACTAGTTGTTAGTGCCTAAGTATACATTTTTATTATTGTTTGTAATGTTTATTTACTAGTTTTGTGCAAGTTTATAGTTGTTAGTTTGCATTTGATTGTAATCGTATTTCTAGCATTTTATTGTTTGTTGTAAGTTGTAGTTAGTTTGGCTATAAGTTTAGGATAGGTTTGGAAGCAAAAAGGATGAAGAAACCTGAGTTTTGTGCAAAACCCGGTCGGATATGGACTTCACCCGGCCGGGTATGAAGTGACAAAGGAAATTGCTGCAAAACTAGCAAATACCCGGTCGGGTATTCCATATACCCGGTCGGGTATGAAGTGATTTCGGACCAAAGAACGTGCAGAAGACACAAAAACATGGGAAAATATTTGATTTGGTAAATACCCGGTCGGGTATGTCAAAATACCCGGCCGGGTATCCGGCATTAGGTGTTGAAAACACCTATAAATAACCCCATTTTCCTTCACTTTTCATCATCCCTTCTTCCATACTCTTAAGCTCAGTTTAGAATAACATTTCTTTATATTTTTCTAGCTATGTTTAGTCTCCAAATGAGGAGCTAAACTTCCATTCTTGGTGTTGCTCTTGAAGCTTGTTGATTATTAAAGTTGTGAGTTATTTTCTTAACTTCTTTCCTTGAATATTAATTAATAGTTCTTTCCTTAATACCATCTCTATGTTAATGTTGGGGAGTGTTGCTAAGATGACAATTAGTTAACATCTCGACATTAGTTAGAATGATATTTTCTTCCTCTATATTAATGTTGGGGAGTGTTGCTAAGATGACAATTAGTTAACATCTTGATATTAATTATAGTAGGATTCATTTTCTTTAATAATATTCTTCCTTGAATATTAATTAATTCCTACTCATATTTCATATTAATATTTTGAACATTACTTAAAGGATCAACTAGTTTTGTTTCATATATTAATTATTACTAGAAACGATCAACGAACCGATGGTTAATCGTTGATGGTTTCACAAGTAAGTAACTTCAGTTTATTAATGCACGGTCGTGGTTAATAAACTTAAGAGGGATTAATTTTGTTGGTTAAACCGAAACAGTTGTGTTGAGGTTATCAATCTCAATTGATTTCATCAAGGAGTTAGAAAGATTAAATGCTACTATTAAATCGGTATAAGGCATTGTTCTATATTTGATTAATAGTAAGGGTTATTAATGAACGGTTGTTGTTAATAACTACCCTCGATGAAGTGGATATACTCCCCGATTGAGTATTCGAGAGGGAATAAGTTATAGATATAACAATGATCGACTAAAATATATCAACAAGTGGAAAGTAGCAATACCAAGTCCTTTTTATCTTTGACTTAAATCTCATATAGGTCGTTCATATTAGTTTTTAATTAAATTAAATCACTCAATCCAAATCCCCCCTTTATTTACTAAGTTTCATAAAAAGAGAATTATTCCTTTCCCTGTGGATACGAACTCTACTACGCTATACTACGTATAAGTGTTTAGTATTGAATTAAATATGACGCACCGTGACAAAGTGCACGTCAAACATGATAACATTAGTGGACAAAAATCTGATTCCAACTCTTACACTATTGTTCAACATGAATCCAATCTCACACAAAAATCTCCTAGTCCCATTACAATCAATGATGATGTATGTCATAGTCCATTGTCTTCTGTCAGCCCTTGTCAGTCACCTCCTACTCATTTACATTCTACTGAGTCATTTTCCTTCCATCATAATGTTGAAGTTATCACCCACTATCATCCAACACAGATCATGAAGTATGCCATATATAATTCTAAGTTTGACCTCAGTCACCATTTGAAGTTGTATGCGATTGATAATGGCTTTCAATACCGAACACTTACATCAAAGAAAGGGGTATTGCATGTTGTATGTTGTGATGACAATTGTAAATGGGCTGTGAGGGGTGTCAAGTTACGTGGTGTTCAAATGTTTCAGATTAGAAGGTATGTTCCCATGTTATATTTTTTTACCTGTATTCTTGTGTATTAATATTCCACATATGTGGCATTTCTTCCATCATGACATATATTTTTACATGTGCAGGTTCGACTCCACACATACCTGCTCCATTGACTTTAGACAAGGCAAACAGAGACAAGCAACATATCGCACTGTTGCTGAGCTAATCTCCCATAAATTTTTGGATGCATCAAGGAAACCGTATGCACCAAATCTAATCCGAGAAGACATGAGTGTGGCCCATGGCATTTCCATGTCATATAAGAAAGCATGGAAAGCTCAAAAGCTAGCCATGCAAAGGCAATTTGGATCTGATTTTGAGTCTTATCAGAAACTACCTTCCATGGCTTATATGCTAGAAAAGAGAAATCCGAATTCTGCAATTTCTTTAATAATAGGTGATGAGGATGAGTTTCGTTACTTTTTTATGTGTCTTTCACCTTGGCGGCAGGCATGGGATTTTTGCAGACCTGTTTTAATTGTTGATGGCTCATTTATGAAGGCATACTATAAGGGGACACTACTAACAGCTTGTGGCCAAGACGCTAACGGTCATATTGTACCTTTAGCTTTTGGAATATGTGATTCCGAATCCAAAGCTTCGTGGAATTGGTTTTTGAGCCAAGTGCGTGAGAGTATAACCTTTCGACCTGATATGTTTATTGTATCTGACAGACATAAAGGTATTCTAAGTGCTGTTAAGGATATTTTCCCTCATGCTCTTCATGGATATTGTGTGGAGCACCTTCGGCGTAACATGGTTCCAAAGTTTAGGGGCGCGGGTAAGAATTTGGGTTGGAAATTCAAGGCTGCCTACATGGCATCGACATTCAAGGAATTTGAGGAATATATGTCCTTGTTGGATTCTGAGGATATTCGTATACGACCTTGGCTTGAGAAGATTGGTTTTCAAAAGTGGGCCAAGTGCATGTCTGGTCCTAGGAGATACGATATCATGACTTCCAACTGTGCTGAATCTATGAACAACGTCAATGTGTCTGCAAGAGAGTATTCTATATCAAAACTCGTGGATTTCTTGAGGGAAAGAATGCAGCAATGGTTTTCAGAAAGGAAGGAAAATGCTGAGAAAACACGTACATTTTTGGCTCCCACACGTGAGAAGCATTTGGTGGCCCTTCAAGGACAAGCTTGCAGGATGCAGGTAACTCAATGTGTGCTAAATTCGTATACATTTATTCGCAAGAAATATGCATTTGATTTTAATTATTTGTTCAGTTATTGTATTTTATACCTGGCAGCAATTCCAAAAATATGGCATTTGGTTACGATCGAAACCCCTCTTCCATGCTTCCCAGACCTTATCCCCCAAATCATTTCTGTGAATATCCATCATTTAACTTTATTATTTTTTATCTTTTTTAAAAACAACATCAGGTGAAGCCAGCATCTTATACAGAATTTGAGGTGGTTGATAGACATTGTCGGTCATTTGTAGTTGATCTGAATTCTAAGACATGCAGTTGCGGGGTCTTTCAATTGTCTCATTTTGTTTGTGTGCATGCTGTTGCTGCTATTGGTACCAGGCCAACGATGTCATGCTATGATTATATATCCAAATATTACACTCGAGATTACTGGTTGTCCACCTGGAGTGGCGTTATGCACCCTATTTGCGATGTGGAGTCTTGGTCAGTTCCTCCTGATGTTTTGAATGTTCGTTGCAAGCCGCCTTCGTGTCAAAAAAGACCACCCGGTCGTCCCAAAAAGTCAAGAATCCCATCAATTGGTGAACATCGTCGTACGAAGCGTCAAAAATGTTCCCGCTGTCATGCTATTGGTCACAACAAAAAAACCTACCGCAATCCACTGCCCATATCAAATGCATGATGTATTTTTTAAGTTTTCTTCTTTAAGAATTTTTAATTATGGTGTCATTGTTTTGAAATGTCCATGTTGATTACATAAATTTATGCACAATTTAGAGCCAGTAGTTTCCTGAATTCATGTATTTCGATTACATGATGTTTTAATTTCCTTTATACGATTACGTGTTTTGCACTATTGTTGATGGATATCATATTTTTAATTCCACCAATGTTCATGTCATTTTGCCATCTTTATTAGTACCATACAACCCACAAATTGTACCTTTTTTTAATTAAATTTCTACAAATCAATGTTGACAGTTATCATGCTTCATCCATATATGCCATACTTTTGGCATTACACGTCAAATAAACACAATTGATATGTGTAACAAATGTAATGTTCACAATTTCTTTAATGCCAATAATAAATTATACATTGTACAATGTTGATCTCAACATATCAATGAGCCATTCCACATTGTAGTCTAACATTCTGCCATTTAAAAATATAAGCGTAAACAGTGCAAAATTGCCATAAAAAAGGCATTTTAAATTACATTTAATGGCAGAAATACTACGTTTGCATACGTCTGTTATATAAACTTTTCCACTTTGATTTAATAGCAAACAACTACACATAAAATTTAAATCCAAAACATTACTCAAAGGAGTCAAGGACATACTACACCATTATGCAAAACGCTCAGTCAACATTGTAAGTCAAACATCAAACATTAAACGTAAATATTCAAAAAACAACATTTCATTCAAGTTTCAAATGCAACTCCTCGGTCCCTGCTTCTGTTTTTTGCGTTCCTCCATCCTCTTGTTGTTATACAACACTAACTCTGTGGCCATCTTTTGCCTATACATGGCCATGTCCTTTGACTTGATCTCTTTTATATCTAGCCCCATCATCAAAAATTCGGCAATCTTCAATACGTACATGCCACAGTTTCCCCTACAATCATGACGCACCAATACGAAATAAATCATTTTGTATTACATATTGATATTATGTTTCTGAAAAATACTATACACGACATATTTTACCCGTCTTCTTGCTGTGGGCAATCCTCGGCAGGCTCCAACTCTAACACTTCGTTACCCATACGCTCATACCCAATTTCGGCAAAATCAACTACAACCACCTCTTACAGTGCTTTTAAAAGTCTATACATCCTATCAATTTTTCAAATTGCATTCATCAACGAATTGTCATCTATTTGAACAACATAGTTTCTGCCATTTATGCCATTTAAAATATTCATACCACTTATATGTAAATATGACATTCTATTGCATGCATTCTATCATCATAACAAATTTCACAATTTGTATTGAACACTGGGAACAAAATCTTCCAGATTTTCGTTCCAAAGTCATGCACATATGCCATTCTTTTCCATTATTTACTAACACATACAATTGCAACACAATATCGGCCGTAAACACATAAATTGATGTTCATAAGTACAACATACCAGATCTGCTTTCTCCCGCTCTGTCTGCTGTCCTCGCCTCTGTTTCGGAACCTCGTCACCGGCCATCGTCGCGCTTCAACTGCTTCCCTTGTTTTCGTCTTCCACCTTTTTACGCTCAGTTCTCGGAATCCCTGTTGCACTTTCCGGATGGCAGAACGGGGTTGAGTAAATGGGGTGGTTGCCTTTGAAACTAGATTCCCGAGCCTTGCGCCGGAAAAACAGTCCATAATAATTGCCTCGCCGCGTTTCCCTATGTTTTCGCCCTCTCTCCTCGCAGGATTCTGGCCGGTTTTTTCGAAAACTTCCTTAGGCTGAAAAGTCAATTACTTAATATCGAGGCTAAAATTGGAAGATCATCAGCTTTTTAATCCTATGAAACTTGACTCACGGAAGAGGTCTTATTTGTGCACATTAAAGTACAATTAGTCCTACTTAGGTAAAAAACTCTTTATTTTATTTTTTTTTTGTTTCCTGTTTTTTTAGACGTCCACAATTTTCTCTCATTTTCTTTTACTTAATGTGTGGTGAACGTTTCCCCTTCTTCCATGTGGTGGTTCATGGTTGGTGCCGAAGGCTATAAACCAAGTAACCAACTAAGCACCAAATTGATGACTTCTGGTGCGATTATATTTCATTCACCAACCACAACACAGAAGTCAGATATCTGACGCTTTCGTATTCATCGAATATGCTTTGAATATCTTGGAGATCTATCATTTTGAGTCAAAGCATTTTAACTTATATCCTTACTTTTCCAAAAATAAAATTATAAATGAATAATACGGAGTATATATTTTTGAAATATTAACTTAATATAGAATTTATATTAAGGAGTATATAAGTATAAAGTACAGTTCAAACGACTGTCCAACATTGATAGAGATGATCAAAGAAGTATATTGCGGACTAGATTTGGCAACGGTGTAGTACTTTTATAGGTGATGTTTGGAATGTGTCTGACCCAAATTTTGGTTGAATTTTAATACTACGTACGATAGTGGGTGTATATTGTATTTCATGAGAGTTGGATGAGCAATTTAAAGTGATATTCAAAATCAAATGTCATCATATTTCAAAATTGATACTCTTAAATTTAAACTTACCGATCACACAATGGGCACTAATGAGACTTTAAACATATCAGTTGATAATTTCGCTTCTTATAAAATTTATGGATTAAGGCCCCAAAGTCAAGAGTCTATGTGAGTTGATGTTTATGATATGGGATGAAAATAGTTTATCAATAGCTTAATATCAATACACAAGATCTATAGTAGTATTTCTCAATGATTTCATGCGGAGATCTATAATTGTGGTATTATTTCTTAATAATTCTATCATTAATGGTCAAAGCATATAATAGTTAATGTATTTGACGACATTTTTGGATGGATTAAAGTTATGCAAAAGTTTTGGCAATGCTACACAATCTTTTTTTGTATAATTATGATTTGAAAGCAAGTTAAACGTAAAATTGATAGCTATCATGACGCCCATAATTCATAATGACAGTGTCTGATTTATGAACGGGTGAAGGTGAATGTTGATGCGGCTTGAAACAGGGATGGAGGTGAACGAGCTAGGGGCCGCATTGCTCGGGATTCATAGGGATTGCTTCTAAGTGCTAAATGTGGCTCCTGCTCGGCGGA